CCTGAGAAAACATTTTCCCTGAAGATGTGGAGTCCCAAGCCCAGTCCATTCTGGAAAAAGTGTGGAATAAGGATTTTTATTTTTTTTTTCTCCGAATGACCTCAGGGGTGTTTTGGCCAGCTCTTTTGTTTTGGGTATCGAACTATAGCAACCTGAGGCTGACAGCTTTGTGGAAGCAGCCACTTAAACAACTGACCTAAGGCCAGGCCCCAGAGTAAAACACACTTGTTAAGCCCTTTGTTCTAAATGGCCACAATGGGATCCACTTGTGCCAGGCCTGACAGCCCCAAGTGTAGCTCATTCTCTCCACCATAGTATTTCAGTTTTCAGCGTGAAACCTTGGTGATGAAATTCCCTATAATTTCCACACTGTTTGTGAACAGGAGCCCTCCTGGAACCGTTCCAGTTTACAGCCTCCAACGGGACTTCCGGTCCCCATTCAACTGGGAAACCCACTCATGAAGACATCACCTGCAGGTGAGTCTCCTTTGAAAGAGTTTGGTGGACAATTCTCCCATTGAGTTTTCCGTAGCAAACAAATGCAGATGAATAATGTTTTAAACATTGTCAAATATTAACAAGAAATTATTATTGAAAATCTTTTCAAAATTAATTTTATGGCTGGTCCGATGGCTCAGTGGTGTAAAGCACTTACCTGGAACAATATTGTCAAATCAGAGGGACTGCGGTTTAATTCCCCGAAATCACATGACACCATGCCCAGCTCCATGATGAGCAGAGCTGGCCACACTCATACACAGACACACACACACACACACACACACACACACACACATAAAAAATAAGTAAGGAATAAAATTTTATTTTAATGGCCCAGGGAGAAGGCACAGTGGAATAAACTCTTCCCTGGTAAGATCAAGGGCCTACTTCAATTCCTGGTTCTTCAAAAAAAAATTATTTTTAAATTTTTTTATTCAACTGCTGTAAGGCTCAAGGAACGAGGATTGGAAACACAGCCTCCTGAATCTCACTGCTCTGACTCCATAGGCAGTTCTAGATCTCAGGTCATGGGCACACCAGAAAGAGAAATGGTCTTTCATTCCCCTTGACTCCAAGGGACCCAGTTCGCCAGTCTAATGAAGGCATTCACAGTTCCATGGAGAAAGAATGGTTTCGACTCTATGATATGAGAACAAGATATTTTTCTCCTCTGAGAACTCACCTAAGAGTGCGGAGCCTGAGTTCTAAGAGAAGCAAGTCCAGCTGAATGTTAGACCGTTTTGGAAGCTGGGAATTCCGAAGGCTGCTCCATTCTAAGGCATAAATTGAATTCCTGGTGTTATCTGACTTGTCTATCTCAATAATTCACCAAGTACTCCGCGCCCGGCCCCTGAGAAAACATTTTCCCTGAAGATGTGGACTCCCACGCCCAGTCCTTTCTAGAAAAGGAATGGAATATTTTTTTTTTTGCTCCGAATGCCCTCAGGGTTGGTTTGGCTGGCTTTAGATTTGTGGGATGGAACTACAGCAACCTGAGGCTGACAACTTTGAGGATGCAGCCACTTAAACAACTGAGCAAAGGCCAAGCCTCAGAATAAAACACACTTCCTTAGCCCTTTGTTCTAAAGGGCCACAATGGCATCCAGCTGTGCCAGGCCAGACAGCCCCAAGTGTAGCTCATTCTCTCCACCAGAGGATTTCAGTTTCTAGGGTGAAACCTTGGTGATAAAATTCCCTAGATTTTCTACACTGTTTGTGAAGAGGAGCCCTCCTGGAACGGTTCCACTCTCCAGCCTCCAACGGGACTTCCGGTCCTCCATTCAACTGGGAAACACATTCATGAAAACATCAACTGCAGGTGAGTCTCCTTGGAAAGAGTTTGGTGGACAATTCTTCCATTGAGTTTTCCATAGCAAACAAGTGCAGATGAATAATGTTTTAAACATTGTCCAATATTAACAAGAATTAATTATTGAAAATCTTTTCAAAATTAATTTTAGGGCTAGTGAGATACCTCAGTGGTGTAAACACTTACCTGGAACAATGTTATCAAAGTACAGGGACTGTGGTTTAATCCCCCAAAACCACATGCCACCCTGCCCAGCCCCCTGATGGGCAGAGCTGGCCACACACATACACATACCCACACACACACACACATAAAAAAATAAGTAAGGAATAAAAATTTATTTTAATGTTCCAGGGAGAAGGCTCAGTTGAATAAGCTCTTCCCTGGTAACATCAAGGGCCTAGTTCAATTCCTGGTTCTTAAAAAAAACATTATTTTTATTTTTTTTATTCAAGTGCTATAAGGCTCAAGGATTGTGGATTGGAAATACAGCCTCCTGAATCTCACTGCTCTGACTCCATAGGCAGGCAAGAACTGAGGTCATGGGCACACCAGAAATGGAAATGCTCTTTCATTCCCCTTGACTCCCAGGGTCTCAGTTCACCAGTCTATTGAAAGCATTCACAGTTCCATGTAGAAAGTTTGTTTGTGACTCTCTGATATGAGAACAAGATATCTTTCTCTTCTTTGAAGTCACCTATGAGTTCAGAGCCTGAGTTCTAAGAGGAGAAAATCCACCTCAATATTAGGTCATTTTGGAAGCTGGGATGTCCTAAGACTGCTCCATTCTGAATCATAAATTGCATTCCTGGTGCAAGCTCATTTGCCTAGCTCCCTAATTCACCCATATTTTGCGCCTGTCCCTTGAGGAATCATTTTACTCCCATGCTCTGTGCTTTCTAGAAAAAAATGGAATAAGGTTTTTGTTTTTTTTTCTCCGAATGCCCTCCCTGGTATTTTGTCTGTCTTGAACGTTGTGTGCAATCGAACTACAGCAACCTGAAGTTGACAGCTTTGTGGAAGCAGCCACTTAAATAACGGAGCTAAGGCCAGGTCCCCGAGTAAAACACACTTGCTGAGCCCTTTGTTCTAATTTCCCACAATGTGATCCAACTTTGCCAGGCCTGACAGTCCCAGGTATAGCCCATTCTCTCCACCAGAATATTTCAGTTACAGCGTTATTCCTTGGTGAAGAAATTCCCTGGAGGGTCTAGGCCCTTTGTGAAGAGTGGCCCTCCTGGACCATTTCCCCTAGACAGCCTCCAATAGGACTTCTTGTCCCCAATTCAATTGGGAAACCATTCATGATGACATCTCCTGCGGGCGAGTCTCTTCGGAAACAGTTTTGTGCCCAATTCTTCCATTGAGTTTCCTATTGCCACCAAGTGCAGATTGGTAATTTTTAAATTTTGTCAAATATTGGAGCCTTTTTACCACGATGTCGCTGAAGGCCAAAAGGAAGCCCGTGCCCCTCCCAAATCTGCAGCCAAAGCAAAATTCTGAAGGGTAAAAAGACCTTGCTGAGAGCATCCGCATCCACAAAAAGTTGAAGATACAAACGTCGTCCTCCTTCAGCTGTCCCAACATGCTGCGGCTCCGAAGGCAGCCCAAATACCCTCGGAAGAGCACCCCCAGGAGAAACAAGCTTGACCACTATGCCATCATCAAGTTCCCCCTGACCACAGAGTCAGCCATGAAGAAGATTGAGGACAACAACACACTCGTGTTCATTGTGGATGTCAAAGCCAATAAGCACCAAGTCAAACAAGCTGTAAAGAAGCTCTGTGACATCGATGTTGCCAAGATCAATACCCTAATCAGGCCTGATGGAGAGAAGAAGGCATATGTTTGACTGGCTCCTGATTGTGATGAATTGAATGTTGCCAACAAAATTGGGATCATCTGAACTGAGTCCAGCTGGGTAATTCTAAATATATACTTTTCTTGTCAATGAAAAAAAAAAGATTGTCAAATATTAACAAGAATTAATTATTGAAAATATTTTTAAAAATTAATTTTGTGGCTGGTGAGATGGCTCAGTGGTCTAAAGCACCTACCTAGAACAATCTTAACAAAGCACAGGGACTGTGGTTCAGTCCCCCTATACCACATGCCACCTAGCCAAGCCCCCTGATGTTCAGAGCTGGCCACACACAAACACAGACACACACACACACACACACACACACACACACACACATACAGAAAACAATAATTAAAAATAAAAATTAACTTTAACTTCCCGGAGAGAAGGCTCAGTGGAATAAGCACTCCCCTGGCAATCGCAAGTGCCGAGTTCAATTACTGGTTCTGCCAAAAAAATATCATTATTTTTTTATTTAATTGCTGTAAGTCTCAAGGAACAGTGATTCAAAACACAGCCTCCTGAATCTCAGTGCTCTGACTCCATAGGCTTGGCAAGAACTCAGGTCATGGGCACACAAAAAATGGAAAGGCTCTTTCTCTCCCCTTGACTCCTAGGGGATCCAATTCGCCAGTCTAATGAAGGCATTCACAGTTTGATTTCGAAATGACCATTTCTGGTCTATGATATGAGAACAAGATATCTTTCTCCTCTTAGATCTCACTTAAACTTAACCCTTAGGCTAAACCTGACCCTAATCATAAACCTACCACTAAACGTAACATTTGCTGTAAACCTAACACACACTGTAACAGTGGCTGTAGCCCTATCTCTTACCATAAATGTAATCCTGAGTGTAACCTTAATCTGAACCATAATTTTAAGCATAACCATTATGCTAAACTTAACCCTAACTGTAACTATAACACTAAACCTAACAGTAATCCTAACTGTACCCAAAATGGTAATGCTATCACTAACCCTAACCAAAAACATAATGATATCCGTAACACTAAATGTAACCCTAACCCTAACCCTAACCCTGACCATATCTATAACCATAACACTAACTGCAACACTAAAAGTGACCCTAACTCTAACCTTAACCCTAAAACTAATGCTAACTCCTAATAGTAACACTAACTTAACTGTAACCTATTACTGACCATACCATAAACTGTAAATGTAACCATAAATGTTACACTAACCCTAAACCTAACAATATCCCTACAACTTAACCTAACCATTACCCCAAACCAAAACCTAACCCTAATATTAAACATAACCATTTAGCTAAACCTAACCATAATCCTATACTTAACACTAACTGTAAGCCAAACACTAACACTATACCTACCCCTAAATTTAAGCCTATCCCTATCCCTAAATCTTACCCTAAACATAAAAGCTAACCATAAGCATAAACGTAAACATAACTGTAACCCTAACTCTAACCCTAATTGTAAACCAAACAATAAGTTTAAGCCTGAACCTAACCATAACCGTAAATGTAACTGTAACCCTAACCATAACTCTAACTGCATCCTAACACCTATCCCTAAACCTAAACCAAAACTTAACCTAACCCTAAATGAAACCTTAACCCTAACTGTATTTGTAACTCTAACTATAACTGTAATCGGAACCCTAATCCTAAGAGTAATGCTAAACCTAAACCTAATTGTAACCCTAATCGTAACACTAACCATAAACTTAACCCTAACCATAAACCAAAAACCTGACCATAACCATAACCGTAAATGTAACGCTAATCCTAAGCCTAACCATAACCCAAACCCTATC